GCAATGGTGTGCCCGGTAGGAAGCAGTTAAGGGAGAGGACGTTTTCCTCCTGCGAGGTTCAGGCGGAGCGGGGCTCGCTCTGGCCCGCTCTCCCACGGCTCCGTGCGCTGGTAGAGTCGGAAACTTGACCTCGTGGAAGAGCAGAACAAGGGCTGCTCCGCTGTGCCTTACTCCCGCATGGGGACGCAGGGGAGGGCGGTGGGAAGAGCAGAAATAGACTTGGGAAGGAGCGGTTGTGGATCTGAGCAGTGTCTGCTCAGCAGCCAGGCTCCCTGCAGCCGGGTGCTGTGGCTCAGGCGCTGACAGCCTGCTTCTGCTGTGCCCCACACCGCTGCCCCACGCTTCGGGGCCCTTCTGACACGCCGTCCCACTGCCTAGACATTCAGTCTCCTTCAGGCTGGCCTTGGAGTTACGTGTTCCAAGAGCTGTTTAAATCTGGAGCTTGATTCTCCTCCCACGACTCTGGAGAACTCTGTAAAGTCACCTAATTGACAGATGTAAATGAGAAAAGCAGCGGGGAAAGCATTTACTGGCATCTTCCGAGGGTTTGCACAAATGCTTTAGTGTCTCCGATCACTCCCATCTGTAGAATAAAACTCAGACGTTATAAAGCACTTTGTGAAAATAAGCTTGCTTTTGTAAAATGTCTTGATGAAAAGCACGAAGAAGTAATATTAAAATTAGTAGGGTGCCTTTTTTAGGAGAGCGTCCTCCTGAACCCCACAATCATTGTAATCCTGAAGCGTTGCTCTTTGTGACTAGGAATAGTGAAACGGATCCAGAGTAGTTTGTGTATAAGTATTATTTTTTCTTTGTGTAGAATCTTGATGTTTGAATTATGCAGCTTCTTACAGTTATTTGGTGTAGGTCACATTTAGGGGGTTGTTAGGTATGAGAACAAGCTGAGTAATTGTTAAATCCTCATCTGTGATTTGGGTGAGTGTTATTTTTGCTCTCTGTGATGACGAATTGATGTCGATGCGTGTTTGTACATCTTCAAAACACTTCTGGTTTTTGCCTCCCATCTTTAGATTGCTTTGTCTTTTCTGTCTTAATGGTCCCTTTTTTGTTCTTCTGACATGTGAAATAGCTGTGTATTTACAATCTTACATTCATCTCTTTACAACTAGAGGAAGACTCAAGAGTCTTAAATATTCACAGGCCTTGGGTACCCATGCAGCTCCTAAATGGGGACAAGATGGGAAGCACCTGGGAAGGACTGTGGCTGCATGAACCCAGCTGATTCTATTTTTATAGAGCTGTGATGTAGTACTGTTTAGAATGACGTTTTTACCTCAGGTGAAACCACTCAGCTGCAGAGGGAAATGACTGTGGATGGTAATCCTTGTCGTCTTCTCTCCCATGCTTCCACAGAAGCCTGCCTGTTAAGGTACAACACTGTATTCAGTGAGAAGTTGTGACATGGAGCATGAGGCTTGGTGGAGAGCTCCAAGGTAGTTGAGACACTGCACAGCATGCAGTTCTTCAAAGTAACGCAGGATTTCTGTCTCCTCAGATGTACATCTGAGGGCTGCTCAAATGTGCAGGCCTTGGCTTTAGCTTTTGAAAAGTGAATGCAAGTGTTATTTAATGTTTTCAGAAATGTTTGCCCTGGAAAGTTTGTCAGCTATGAAAATTTCTAAATTTGTCTGCTGTCATTTCTGGGACAGAATGATTGACTGTTCTGTCAGAGACGTTTATCATGGCTCTAATTCAGCTGACTTTTTCTTGAGTAATACTATCATCCATTTAGGGTAGCAGTTTCCCAGCAAAACGAACCTATATTTTTCAGTGTCTGTGAAACATTGCAGCACTGAGCACCTCGCATGACCAATGCCATTTGACAAGCAACGTGCTTAGTGTGTTTTAGTTTTATTAAGTTATGTGTTGCTTAACTACATTTGGAAATAAACTCTGAATAAGAGGTAATGTGTTAGATATAAAAACGGTATGTTTCTAAGCAGCCTTTCTATATTTTGCAGTGTTGAGAAATAAAATTTATGTGATTTTTTGATGCCTTTAGAAGAATACTATGGTACTTCCTTACTAATAAATAAGGGAAGACGGCTTCTGGAATTTGTATTTGATGTGTTTGGTCTATCTCTCCATTTTGATTTTTGCCTTTTCAAGGATTGTTGGGATTTGGGAGGGGTGTTGGTGGTTGGTTGTTTTTATTTTTGCTGCTGTGTTTTGCCCTGTTTTCTTTGTTGCTTGTGATGGACTTGTGCCTAAGAGAATCAGTGAGTGACCGGTGAACAAAACATTGTCAAATGCCCAAAGTAGAAAATAAACCAGATTTGAAGAGAATTTCTTTTAAGACTTTACTGCTGTGGTGTTGATTAGAAAACATAAAGGTAAAAAATGCCTGTGCTGTTTTCTGTTGCCTGTAGAAATTAATCTAATCCAAAGCCCAAGGAAAAATGTTTCCTAAGTGAATGTTTTAGGGCATAATTATTTTTGTAAAATATTTTTGTTATCACTATACTCGGTCTAATTGGGATCTGGATACGCCTATGTACTTCCTGCGGTCCAGAAAAGAACAACAGCTGCATTTACAGATACGCTTATTGATTGTTCCTAATCCAGTTGAGGTAAGACATAAGAGTATATTATTTCCAATTAGGCTAGTGTTTGACTAGATGCTTTTTAATTAGAAGAGCAGTAGAGAGCTGCTGCTGTGCTCCATTTTATGAAGCAATTGCAAGTAGAATGGTTTGGAGGAGGAGGAGGAGGGAGTATGATGGTCCGATAGTATTAAGAAAGGTTCTTGGTGCTGACTAGAAAGAACCTGCATCAGACTAAGAGATGTCTCATCTCTCTGAGTTACAAGCAGCCCTTTCTACTCTTCTGGGTTGAAAAATGTGGGTTTAATCTTACTATCATTCCATCTAACTTTGCTCTCTGAGGATCTCTAGATAAATTTTAACTTGTTGGAAGATTCTTAGTATTCTGTTCTGGGGACGTAGAGGTGCTTCTCTGAGAAGAACTACTTGTTAATGCCTAAAAGAAGCCTAGCTGCTTTCTCCTCTGCTTTGGCCCAGAAACTAACCAGCTGTAAGATTTTGGCATCCACCCTGTCTCTTAAAAGCAATCTATCAAGAGGGAAAGAAAAACAAAACAATGCATTTTCACTCTTTATGTGCGAGGCAGGCAGCAAGAGAGGAGTGAGTAAGCGAGCTTATGTTGAGGGATGGGAAGACAGGATGCTTATAGTTTTGATGTTTCTTTCCTTCGATCCCCTCATCTTCCCTTTTGAAGAAGAGAATCATACTTTTCTCTTGGCGAGTGGGTATTTGAAAACCAATAAAATCATGTCGTGTGAGTCAGGAGGGTAAAAGCTTAGGTGTTTGGGAGAGAAGGTCAGGTTGTTTAAGGTTAAGGGAGATTAATGTTGTGGTGATTTAATATTTTGCTTTGTGCTAAAAGTGAAAAGGTGATTTAATATCACATTTTAAAAGTGGTTTATTGCTCTAAAATTTAAAAGGTAAGCAAACCCACCAGTACAGAGGATGTTTTTCTTCTTCTGTTCCATTTACATCATAAAGTAGAAATGGATAAAGCAGACATGCAATCTGAAATAAATGATAGGGGCAGATTGCTGTCAGAAGTCAGGAGCCTGAAACTCCCAACAAAATGTGGTAAGAACTGAAGATTTTGAGGTTACTGATTTCTGGTTTTGAAAGTATGATGTTCTCTATTTGTTCCTGTTCTGTTGGGTCGCAGCAGAAAACCCTTCTGTTTTTCTTTAAAGGACAGAAGGGATCTCTGCTAGTTAATAACTCGTTTAGTACTTATGAAGTCATCACTTCCACTTCTCTCATTTTTTTTTCCTCTATAGCTTGCCAGGCTGTAGTCATGGAATATATTTCACTCTCATGCTACAAAAATCCTCATTTTTTTATAATTTACTAAAAATGATTTGTTGGTAATGACTCTTGAGATGTTTTCCATGGCTGATCAAATGACACTGACTCAGATGCTCCCATCCTCCACTCCTTTGCCTTTGTTCTCTTAAAAACGGACTTCTTTATTCTCAGATTTTTACTCTTTCTACCCCCCTACACTGGGCCTGAGCCATTTGTGCTGTGTGATCCTCTTTCTCTCCTGCAGGGGTGGGTGGTGAGGGGGAGCAGTAGAAAGGGCGAACTCCTGTTAGAAGGGCCTGTTCAGTTCCCAGCAGAGATCTCTGGAGGCTGGAATGCCAAGTGTGTTCCTTCTGCCTGCTTCCTGACCCTCTGCTGCATGCCATGTCTGCAGGCTGGAGTGTGTCTGGGGAGCAGAAACCTTCATGGTTTTGTTTCTTGGAATATTCTTTATCTAAATGGAAGGAACACTTCTGTTGGTTGCAGTATCCTTAAGAGATGGCATGGTGCAGCAGCCTGCAGGGAACCACCTTAGAGATGCCAGGGTCTCTGCAGGAAACTTAAGTGTTCATCGTCAAGAGATCTAGTGGTCTATTTTGCTTTTCTGTATTTCTCTGTTGCTTTGATCAGGGAGTCTTCTTGGATTAAGTGGGTTAATTATGTGAAGACTCAGGATTTTTTTTTTTAACGCACTTATGAAGTTTACATAGATACATTACGCGAGTCTAACACAGAATGCGTTGCTGATGTAGACTCCTAAAGTGCTGGCTTAAATAGGTAATTACTAGTGGAACACAGGAAAGAGGTGTCTGGTCTTTAAGGCTCTAGCAGAATGGCAGAGGAATTGTAAGAAACAATGCTTGAGCAGGGGTCTATGCATCCTGCTTTAGCTCTTCTAAAATGTAAAGGCAACTCCCAAAGGAAGGTGACTCACTGGATATCGGTGTTGCTAGTGCTCGCTCCAGTTGTCTCTCTGCGTTCCCCTTCACAGGGGCATTGGGTGCCATGGCTGGCCTGAGACTGCGGGGACTGGCATCCTCCAAACTTTATCAGCGCCGTCAGGATCGGCTAAGTGGCACAGGGTCGCTGCTGAGCAACAGGACAGATACAGCAGCTGGGATACGTGGGTACGTCTCTGAGATGAAGGGAATGGTATTGTTGAAGCATTTTCCAGGATTTGATAGATGTTCGGATTTGGTGGTGGGACTTTTTTCTTTAAAGTGGGAATTATCTGCACACAGCCAGAGGGGATGAAGTCTGTTTATTTTCATTTCCAAGTAGATTACAAAGGAAAGGACTTTCCTGATGAGAAAGCTTTCAGTTTTTAACAATAACAGGAAAGCAACAATGGAGAACCTTTCCCGTTTTGAAGCTCTGTATTAGACTGTTCAGAACCAACATTAGTGCTAGCGTTAATGGTGAAGTATTTGAGCACTGTAGGAATAAAGAAATAATGAAATGCGGTAATTTTTCAAAATGTTGATAAAATTCTACTGTTCCTTGATTTTTAGGGCTTAGTAGTCTATTTCTTCACCTATGCTGTTAATAGCAAGCTGGTTGATTTTAGTTTTTTTTAATAACTCCATCAGAAACTGAAGCTTCGAGTATAGCTGCTTCTTGAGGTTATTTAGAACATGTCATCCAAAGCTTCTTAAATCTGCCCAGACGCTCGATTTGATCATTACTTTTCTTGTACTTCAGACTAAAATTTTACTTTACTTTTCAATTTTTAGTGAAGTTAATTTTGGGCAGGAGAGAAATTAATAGGAATTAAATAAAACTTAGTTTCTTGCATTTTGGGAGAACTGTGACCTGCAGCAGCAATATAGGATCTGAAACCTGTATCACTGGGGAGAGCAGTGAGCTTGCAGGAGAGGAGATTCTTTTCTAGCAGTCAAAAGTTTTGAATTTCAGTCTTTCTTTAGCAGGAGATAGACCTGAAGTTTACCTGTAACTGTGCAATTGATTTGACTTCTCAGTTTTAGCTGTGGATCCCTCACTAGAACACTGCTTTTCCCACTATTTTCCGTTTAGCTCGTATCTATTAGTATATTTTCAATTTTTCCTGCACAAAGTTGTGGATGTGAATGTATTAGAATTTAGTGAGGAGGAGAGTAAGAAGGTGGTGAAAGAAATGACGATGCCTTTGAGTGGAGAGTATGCTGGTCAGGAAGAGTGAGAAGCATAGAAGGGACCTGTGAGAGAACAGAAAATAAGCATTAAGAAAGCAGCAATGGAACACAAACAGCAGAGTGTGAACTGAAGATAGGAAGGATGAGGAGATAAATGCTCATAGTCATCTAACGTTGTCAAAATGTAGTTTGCTTTCAGCTATTTGTGTGTGTTTGTAACCTGTAAGAGCCTTCCAGGAAGGAGGTGAAGGCACAATATTTTTTTTCCCATGATTTCCAATTATTATTTTTAATAATTTTTTTCCGAGTTTGTAAACACAACAGAGATTTTTCGAGCCTTGATTTTTGGTTTTGTTGTTGTTTTTTTTTTTTTAATATTAGAGTTTAAAACTCTCTCTTAAGTAGATGTGCTTAATCCACTATGCAGAAAGAATGCCCTTTTCTGAACAGCGTGTTTATAATACTCAGCACTACACTAGTATGGTTTTGCAGGAGAACAAGATTAGTTCTCATTTGCCTTCTATGTCAGCTAGATTTCGGGAGTTAGAACTTGGTGTTTGGAAGATTCCCAGTTGTGTGAGATCTCTCTTTTTAAACCGATGCTATTAAGTGTGCTGTGTGAGGCTGCTGGAGGAGGTGATCTGGGCAGCGCTGGCATAGCAATGCTCACAGTAATGGTTCTCTAAACGTGCTACATTGGGCTTGGGCCTGTCAATAAGCCAAGGAAGAGTGAAGTGTGGCAGGGAGCACGCTCTGAAGCCGAGCACAGCTGGGACTACAGGGCGCCAGGTAGGAGAAGGCTCAGGGGCTGATTCTGCACTGTGTTGAAGGAGGGAGGCTGTGTATGTGTTGCTGTGGTGACACATGTACAGAGCAAGGCAGACCATGCTTGCATTTAAACTATATGCTGGCAGAATTTTTGATAAGGCCACGTGGGTTCGGCAGAAATAATTCTTGCAGCTGGCAGAATGATTTAGGGTGGAAATGTCTAGCTAGGTAGATTGAATATCATCATAGAATCATAGAATGGCATAGGCTGGAAGGGACCTTAGAGATCATCTAATCCAACCTCCCTGTCGTGGGCAGGGATGCCTCTCAACTAGATCAGGCTACTCAAGGCTCCATCCAACCTGGCCTTGAACACCTCCAGGGAGGGGGCATCCACAATTTCTCTGGATAATTTATTCCAAATATGTTTTTCACATCATAGTTCTCAAAGCAAAGTAAGCATAAAACCACATGTTTTGGTTTTACTCAGTGCTGAAGATTGTAATCTGTTTGGGAATTTTGTCTCCTGAACTATTTTTATTTTATCCACAGTTTTTGAGCTACTGGTAATTTTTGCATTTCCCTCCTGATAGGTCCTGATAGTTTATGTCCTTTCTACAGGCAAATGAGAGTAATCCAAAAGAAGTGTTGCTGCTAGTTGATTATAATTGATGAACGTATTTGGGAATGATCTGTCTTACTAGTGTTGACAAACAAGCATCACATTTTAGCTCCTTTGAGATAAGAGAAGTGAAGAAGAGAAAGATTAAATGTGTCATAGAAGTTATTTATCAAATAGACATTGAGGGTGAAGTGGTGTGTGCTTGATAATGAAAGAGGTTTTTTTCTGTGTAAGAGGTATGATCTGTTTAAAATCTGAACGTTTCTTTATCTTGATGTTTCCCTGAGTGAACAATGTTAAATATGTGTCTTTCTCAGTAATTGGTCATGGTTTACTGGAAATAAATATTGCGTGGCATTGAGAGGGTCTACCAAGTACCCGTGGCATAGGATTTTTTTTCTGTTTGAATACCAACAGACTTTTGTTGCTGCTGCTGGTCTCAAAGGTCTATTCGATTGTGGCTTCCCCTGCAGGCCAGCTGTACAGACATTGTATTCTGTTCTCAACTGAAATATGTGAAGAAGTGGCATTTTTTTTAAAGCCTTGGCTTCTACCAATAGCAAATTGCTGTTGCTGGTAGACCAAAGAGAGATGAGAAGCCATAAAGATGCATTTGTATGTTTTTCTTAATTTTAGTTATCCCTGTGTAGTAAATAAGAACAACAAACGTTTGTTTCATTGGGAGATTGGGGGCTGCATGGCTGAGGAAAATATGCTGAGAGAAACACTATTCGTTTCTTATTTATTCAGCTGAAAAAATATTTAAATACGGAATTAACTGAAAATTCAATGCAAGCAGAAGCAAAAATGCTGAAAATGTTAAGCTATGCACATCATTTTATCAAATGCACAACAAATCATACATTGAACAAATGGGAATTTTTTTTTCTCCAACATTTTACAACAAGTTTAATAATAACCTTAAAAGATTAAATTAATGTAAATTTAAAAGTTTAAATCCGTTTGGGAAAGTTGTCCAAATAAAAGTCATCTGCAGTGAAGAGATTTTGGAAGAACGATAAGGGTAATTGAGGGCTGTTTTTCAGCAGAAGTTCATGAACTGATACCCTTCCTCTTTTTTTTTTTTTTCTCTACATAGTAGTCATTATCTGTGAAATTAATCATAAAGTCTGATATTGTCCCGGCAAATATTTTTTTTTGTCTTTGTCAACATTAAGGACTTAAAGCCACAAATTCTCAACCGTGCTATGGGAATGGGAAGAACCCCCTCTCCTGAAGTGCCCTGATTTTTATCTTAGCTACTGGTATTTATGATATACACCTGTGGTGATAGCTTTCCAGGTTTTGGACTTTTCACTGTCATTGGCATCTGTGTGTGTTTGCGTAGTAGAAATGGCTATGTAAATGTTATCATGTCGTTGTATCTTCTGTATACACTAGTTTTTACTGGTAGACCAGAACAACCGGACAATACCTGTCTAAGATTCCCTAGCGTAGGTATGGTGCCTGTCTGCTGAGGTTTGGACAATGCCCTGGGCTCTTGTATCTTTGAAATGTCTTCCTTTTCTTTTCATAGTATCTGTAAGGTTTTTGATCATTTCAGTATTAAATTAATTCTTCATTCAGCATTGCAATGGTTGGGAACTCTCTTTGACACTAAAACCAAAAAGCTCTCAATACCAATTAAAGAAAAGGATTTTTTTTGACTGGGCTTTTCTGACAGAAGCACTCCTTGCACCTGCAGTTCCTTTCTTGGACCTGATATAGTTTGAGACTGTTCATCTGTTCCCCTGGTTGTCTGGTTCAGTTTGTCTCGCATCGATGTTTGAGATACTGAATTCTACTGATGAGAAGGCTGGAGCCTCTGTTCTACTCTCTTAGCAGTGCAAGTATTAGATGTGCTTTTTTTTCCCTCAGCCAGTCACCAGTACTGTATCCCCATGGACAAGTGTTTGAAAAAGGATATAACAATACAGAAGTTGTAGCATTTTAGCCAGCTTTCTTGGTATTTAAGTCCAACTCTTTTTTTTTTTTTCCCCTGGTGTAGTAATACAGGCCAAATTTCCTGAATCTTTATGAAGATATGATATAAAAATGTGACATTTGCTAGTCCAAATATATATGAAACCACTGTTTATGGAAGATAGATCCATATTGACTTTAGTGATATAAGAAGGTAAAATGCTTTCAAATCTTTTGTAGAACCTGTACCAGTGGCACAGAATGGGTCTCCCAATTAACTTCCACTTCTTCCAAAGAAGGAATTTTTTTAATTTATTTTTTTCTTCCAATTTGAGAGCAATGCTGATACTTTATAGTAAATAATTCTGAGAAGTCAATGCATGAGAAATCCACACCTAATTATAATGGTAAATAACTGATTTCTGTAAATTAGGTACTTTGACAAAGAGAATTTGTTAAAGATACAGCACATAATGGTGAAAGATTGGAAGAAGCATTGTTTGAACAGTGGTATTTTTTGGGTTTGCACAGGACGGGATAACTTCAGGATGTGGGGCTGGTCATGCTTTAATAGCCTTTCCTGTCTTTGTGTCACTAGCTTATTGTTAAAACAGGGGAAGATTCTGTATTTTACCGAATTGCAAAAAATCAACAAGCAATCAGAATGCAAGAAGCACTCCATGTTGGGGACTGTCCTTTGTAGGTGAGACTCAGATCTAAATATCTTACGATTGACATAGTAAGTCAGACTTTTGTGGTCACTCTTGGCACCACTATCAAAAGGATGGTTTTGGTGTTGCTCTTCCTTTCCCTGTGCTGCTGGCATTAACGTTTTTGCAGCAGTGTAGTAAACTGAATCATAAAACTGCGCTGAATTAGAGCTGTCCTCCCTCCCACTTCCAGCCTTGGTTAATTTTAACCTTGAGCTAGTTGAATAAATGCTTATTTTTGCACAAGGAAGAGGGCACGCAGGGGTGTGTAGCTAAGAGAGATTAAGAAACTGTGACATATGTGAAAGTAAAACTTTTGAATAAATGTGAAGTCATACATTTAGGGCAATGCCAAAGTTTCAAAATTTAGCTTGAGCGTAAAAGAATAGAATGTCTTAAGTAAAAACTGATGCAGTGATGAATGATAAGAGAGCAGAGAGGTAAAACTCAAGCTGCAATTATCAGAGAGCCACGGCTGCTGGTCTGTGTTACAGGAGACAACATTGGTCAGGAGCCGTTGTGGGATTTAGTTGTCTCCTGTACCGCTCTCCTCGACAAATTTCAACTGGGTATAGCTGAGGCAGAGAACTCTGTTTTTTGTGTACAGATCTTTTGTTTTAATTTTTGCTGAACTAATGGTTTCTCTCATGTATGAGTAACAAGTCACAATCATTAGCTCATTTGCATTGTTGCATTTCTTGGACAGCTCAGGCTGTATCATGATCACCTTTCTTATACCTTTAAGGAAATCTTGTGAGCATCAACCAAGTTCTTCTAGCTCAAATGTTTTGAAAATTTTTTAAAGTTTTCAATTTCCAAGTCTTTGAAGTGCTTGTTCTATGCTGTTTTGCAAAATCACTAGTGATTTTTCTCTGTGTATCATATTCTCTTGTTAAAACAGTATTGGAGTATCTTTAGCCAAATTCTATAGCTAGGAGTTGGAGCTTTTGCATCATCATGCATCAGGAGAACGGTAAATAAACTCTTGAAACTCTTAATACTCTCTTACTTTTGCGAATGAATGAGGTAAATTATTTTTTTGAGAGTTAAAAATTAAATCCGAAGTTGTACTTCATGTTAAGGGAAGACAGTGAGAACACAGAACAATAGTGCATTTGACTTTCACTAGGAATTTTAATTTCCCAATAGACTTTATATTGTTTAGAAGTTAGAGTTTACTGTGGAGTTAGTCTGTCTTGACAGCCCTCAAATGCTGGGTTCAGAATGGAGGCTCCTGAAAGCCATATTCTTGTGATCCAGTCCCTACGTCTGTCTTTCTCACCAACAAAGCCATGGGACTTGTGCCAGAATCTCTCCTGGGATAAGTATATTCAGTAGTGTTTGATGTGAACTACCACACTCGTGAACTTGCACTGTGTTTCACACAGGAGCATGGCTGTGCAGGTTGCAGTTGTTGCATACTGCCGTTGTCTGGGTGGCAGCTCAGTTCTTGCAGAGTTCAGCCAGCGGGTAGTGACAGTGATGGGTACTGTTCCATCCTTAGAGCCCTGTTAAATTGCATTTGGAGAAAGCAGAAAAAAAAAAAATCAGGATTTTTTAAAAAAATATTAATTTTGTGTTTATAGAGCAAAAAACCCAACAACCACAACCTTAGATCATGCTTTGTTGTTAGTGTGTAGGGTGTAATACTTGCTGTTGTGTTGGAAGCTGTGAGACTGACTGAACACTGTTCTCCCCAGTTTTCTTCCCAGAGCAGCTTTTTCACTGGTGTTGACATGAGGCTTTCTTAATCATGGCTGTTGGCTAGCTCAAGTCTTGGAATTCAGGCATCAAATTTTTCTAGAGGGAAAAAATACTTGATGGGGAGATTATGTTTTCAAGTCTTGGTACACATTTGCATGATGTAACTGAAAGAGTAGCGATTGGAAACTGAACCGATTAGGTCTCTGGACTTTGCTGCTTACACTGATGTTTTTGTGTTGAGCTATTCCTTTGGTACTCTGTTGGAATAAAAATGTTTCTTTAACCTATGATTTCTTGTTTGTGAAATTACAGGATTTCCTTCTTGTCCATAATTCCGGTCCATGTCTGTTTTTTAAAGCTCCTTCGTACTGCAATGAGAAAATAACTTGTAACAGATTTCTGCTAAATTGGTATTCCGTTCTTGAAATTATTAACAGCTCCCTTGCTCTTTGCCACGCTTGGAATTGCAGTGGCAGAAAGAAAGTGTATTCTTACTGAGCAGTCACTCCAGGTCACAGCATAGCGTGTTTGTACAGGCTGCAGGTGCAGTAGGTTGGCTCAGCTGAGCCAGATGAAGCACAAGCTTGTTTTTGTTGCCTCAGGATTATGAGGCTGCTGCCTACCCTGCTGCCGACCCGATCTAGTTGTGCTCAGAGCTCAGAGCCCTGGAATACAAACGGTGGTGTGTTTTTGTAGGAGTGTCTCTGACCAGAAGAAAGAGAATCTTCTACTGGAACATGCTTATGGAATTACTGTTCTCTGTGAAGAGATGTGGAAAGTAGCATGTCAGGTTGTAGAATAACACTAATGATGGAAATTCAGTTCAAACTAGCTTTGAATATGAAAAGAAAGGAAAAAAACCTTTTAAACCAAGCCATCTTTCATTTTATGTATGTGTTACGTGCTTCAGGAAAACTACTACTCAAATATTTCAGAGATTTCTGACATGGTGCAATTTTTTTTAGTTTCCCACCTATAAAACTGCTGTCTTTCCAGTCATAGAACTCAGAAGGTGCCCAAAAGGCATAAAGTAGAATTTCTATAAGTGTGTCAACATTGAATTTTTATATTATTGGATAGTCTAGTGGTTAAAAGACATTGCATTGCAACAAGAAACCGAGACTCTTCATAGTTTTTTTTTTTTCCTCCCTCTTTTGATGCGTGATACAGGATTTTAAAACAGCATTCTGTTAATATATAGAGAACTTAGATTACCATGATGGCAAGTGTGAAAATTTTGTGAAAGAAGTTAGAGTTGTTCCACATTTTAAGGGAGACAGAGGAAACATCCTTTGCAGTGTTTGCGAGTGTGGCTTTGGGGTTTTTTTGGGCTCACTTTCTGAGGAAATGAAGCTGATGTATTTGCTAAGCCAGCCAGAGACACTTCTCTCTTCCCATACCTTTTTAACCCTTTGACAGTTTCAGTTAATATGTCAGGAAGACAGAGGCATTGAATGTAATTATTTTCCAATGAATCTTGTACACGTAAGCTGCTGGGTAGAGGATGAAATCCTCAATTCCTACAGTGAAGGGGAGACTGCAGTGGAATATCAGTGCTTATTACACGTCACAAAATCCTCGGAGGTGCACATGCTGAGACTAGAAATCCCAAGGAGTCAAGGTTGTTGTTTGCTGCCCTCCAAACTACTGGTTTATTTAGGATTATGGATATTTGGTATGAGCTATTAGCAGGATGACATAATGAGGTGAAAGACTGGTGAAGCAGGCAAAAGTGTGCATTAGGTAGATCTGCTACATGAGCTCATTCTGCCACGAGTTGCAAGAACATTATTTCTAACTGATGTCAGTGCTGAATCGACTCATTGGTCTTTTTTGCATTGTTGGGTTTTTTGAGTCTTGTTTGTTTTTCATGTAAAAGGTTGTTTAAAGCAGTGGAAATGTTGTGTTCATAGATGTTGGGGAAACTTAGATGATACGAGTATACTCATGTGATTCGCTGTGACATTGCTCATGTTCTTACCCTTGTCTTTATTCCAGTAACATGTCTGATGCTCTCGCAAATGCAGTATGTGAACGCTGCCAGACTCGATTTGATCCTGCAGAAAGGATTGTGAACAGCAATGGGGAGCTCTATCATGAAAACTGCTTTGTCTGTGCTCAGTGTTTTCGTCAGTTCCCAGATGGACTTTTTTATGAGGTGAGGTCTCACACTATGTGTAAGAGAAGAGAAATATCTCCATTAAAAGGCAAGCAATTAGGTGAAAATTCTGACAGAAATACGAATTTCCATCTTTCCTGCATGTTTAATTTTTTAGCCCTAAACTTTTGTTGCTATTTTTTTGAGGGTCTTCCAACTTAATTTTTTTGTTCTCTCACATACTCATTCCTAATGATCAGTAACAACAAAAACTGTGTGCTTGCTCTTTGGGTAAAAGTTATTTCAAAAAGAAAACAGAAAATGTTTCTTAATATTTCTTTAGGTGTTATTTTAGATATTTTGTACCAAACTTTTCCAACTGGACAGCTGAAGTTGCTCAACCCATTTAAAAACAAGGTTGAAATATTTTTACAGAATATTTATAAGCACATATTTTGAATAACACATTATTTTAAACATGCCATGTTCTTAATTTGCCATGAGTTTTAGTCTCGTATAAGAAGAGTAGCTCTGAATTGCATGAGTAAAAGGAGCTAAAACAAAAATGAGATTAAACCACCTATAGGAGAAGGGTTTTGGACACTTCAAGATTTTTACTGTTTTGCAGCAGCATTGCAATTGACTTAACTGTTATTGAAATTCACCTTAAGGCTGAAGCTGTGTCTGGATATTTCTTTATGAAAAATCATTCGGAGTTTAAAAACAGGTGAGAGGGGGCTAGAACTGGAAAACTTGACTGACCTTGACTAATTGATCATTTCTGTGGAAAATCATGCTGAACTATGAAAACATTAAGAGTAGTTCGTTTATTCATGAGGGCTCCTTCTCTCGTTTTCTTCACAGTTCGAAGGTCGGAAGTACTGTGAGCATGACTTTCAGATGCTGTTTGCTCCTTGCTGCGGGGAATGTGGTAAGATGTGGTGCATGTCGACATCGTGGGGTAACAGGTACAGGGCTGTGCAAACTTTCCACCATTGCAGTGATATCCAGCCCTGGTCTGGGATTGTTGAGGTCATTTTAAGGAGCAAGAGCTCTGGAGGGAAACAGAGCATGATATCCGCAGTGATTTGGGGTATCCTGGTTGTGGGAATAGTTGGGTTTATTTCAAAGCTAAACTGTAATAGTTCTTGTGGAATTAAAGCAGAAGGATTATGAAAGCAGTAGGCTTTTGGTAAGACTGTTTTCTGCATGCATGTCAAAGTGATGCTTTCGTTTTGCAGGTGAGTTCATCATTGGGCGCGTTATCAAGGCTATGAACAATAACTGGCACCCAGAGTGCTTCCGCTGTGAGCTCTGCGATGTAGTGCTTGCTGACCTGGGGTTTGTGAAGAATGCTGGCAGGTAAGTTAGAGCAGGAGCTCAGAAAGTTTTGTCAGTACGTTATTGATACAGTAGTGAGATGTTGAGATGTCAGTTGGTTGTATGCTTGAAAAGGTACAGAAGAAGCTTTAAGGAATAGCCTGTTAGGAAATGGGAGATTAAATGAAGAACAGTGTTCTTCATCCAGTGAAACGTGTAGAAAGCAGAAACTCAGATTTTAGTAGCTAGTGGATGGATTCTGGAAAAGAAAGGGATTTCAGGCAAAAGGCTCAATAGCAAGTGAGGAAAAGCAATTATGTGATCCTGGGCAGGCTGTTTATCAAGTGAGCTGCTGAGCAGGAAATCAAGGTACAGCAAAAGGCCAAGCGAATAACACAAGGATTACAGCAAAGCCTATTCAGCATGTGATTCCCCTGGTCTTTTGAAATCATTTTAAATACAGAAATATAAAAATGAGCCCTTAAAGTCGATTAATGCATTTAATTAAGAAGTAAGAAATAAAAACATAAAAGAGAACTTGTACAAAAGCGTACCATAATAAGAAAATAAAACAATGCAGCAGTTAGCAGTGTTGCACAATTCATAGTTAATTTCAGGCTTTCATATGTCTTGAGCAAAGCCTAGTAGTTTCCTAGAGTTTATATTCTCACTAACTAAATGGTGAAGAAGGGAAGGAAAGGTTTTATACTTGTACCCTGTCCAGCAGGGAGCCCTCTCAACTCTCTTCTCTTCCATCCTGCATGCAACTTCTGTGCCTTAATGTTTGGATTTGGGCATAATTGATTTTCTTTTGACACCTAAGCTTGTTAGAGTGGGCTGTTGTGATAGCATCTAGGAGGGTTCCTGGTTTGGGAAAGCAGCCAGGATTGAGGCAGTTCAAGCGAGATAAAGTATGTTTGATTTTGTAATTTGTGGACCAGATCTAAAATGGTAAGGAGCTCATTCCCAAAAGCATAGAAAAGGGATATGTGTGTTTATGTAGCTGTACTTAAAAAATATAATTCACCTGTCACGTGATTTCCTATAATATGTGTATCCACACTATAGAAGCACTCTTCTAGTAAATATTATTGGAAACTCTTGGGTTATTTTTCTTGCTTCTCATTGTACCTGATCTTCCCTAGTCTACCTGTCATTCCCAGACATATCCCGCTGGATGCAATTTGTATCAGTGAGGATAGCTCAGATAATCCCTACGTTGTCTGTAATGAAGGAATAGTCTTGCTAAACAAGTCACCAAAAAAAAAAATAGTAAAACACCTCAAAGATAGGAATCTCTTCTGGACAAAGTAGGCTTTACTTCTTCATATGCTTACTTTTCTTCACTTTTGCCATTTATTCATATTTTTATGAACAGTATTTAGTAAAGATGAATGCTGTATTCCTGAACAACCCTTTTCCATTCTTTAGTTTGAGGATTATCAGGGTATCTGATGTTTTGCAAGGAAATACGTAAAAGGGACAGTGTAGTAAATGTTGTCCAACCTCTATCTGCAGCTTTGAGACAAAGGCAGAAGGCAGATAGAAAAGGTAGTGTGAAGTTTAGTGCTCATTTCCAGCTCTGAATGCTGGGAAGAAGTAAAAAAACTCTAAGTCCTGTCTTAATTCCAGTCCAGGTTGGGTGCATTGCAGCATTTTGGTCTTTTTTTCTTGCCACGATTTAGTACCAATTTTGTCTGCTATGTATGAACACTTGGAGACTTGAACAAGATGTGCAAGCATAGTGTCTTTTCAGGCAGTTCTGTCTCAGGAACAGATCTCTACTGCTGGCACTATATAAAATTTCAAAGTAGGCTGTATGCATTGTGCAGAGGAAAACTCATTACTGAATGCTTTGGGAATTAAGTTTTTATTTTGTTTGTTTGGGGTTTTTCTAAAAGTCTGTTTACTAGCCTCTTTACTCCTTTCCCTGTTCCTAAGTGTGCAACCCTCAGTTTCACAGCTTGGAAAGGAGTAAAACTGTACTTCTGTTTGCAGTTTCAGTAAGACAAGAACATGTGATCTCTGTTGTCAGACGGGTTCTTGCTAATTTCAGTCCCATAAAAACGACAGAACTTCCCTCCTCAGGAGTGAGTTTGACTCTGGCTGGACTATCTCGCTGCATATTTGCACTCTCAGCTGATTTTGGTGGCATAGAGTGTTCTTAAGTCAAAGGGATGACAAAAGTCATGTTCACAGTTCAGATTTAGCACTTAGTGAGCTTTCATTTGTCTTACCCTCATATGTTTGAGGCAACATTACAGTCTTTTTAACACAAAACAGATTGCACAAAGCCTCACGAAATTTCTCAGCTACGAAAAAATACATGACTGGGTCAAAGGCACCATTTAGACTTGTAAGACAGGAAGTGATGCGGTTACTGAGGGCTAGAACACGCTGTGTTTCGCAGGAAGTTTTGGTCCCGTTGTAATGGAGAATATAAATGTAGCGATTGACATGATAAGGTACAAAGCAAACCAGAAAGATCATCAGGACCATGATGATCATTTTGATAGCTTTTTCCTTCAGGTGTTTCTCGACTCTGTTCCCACTCTTCAGGCTGCGGATGATTAATAAGTAGCAAGTCACTGTAGTAACGAATGGGAAGGTGAATGCTACTGCTAAGGACACAAGGGCATGGTGTGATGCCTTTTCTCTGTAGAGCTGCAGGCAGACAGTTGTGTTGTTCATCTCAACTGTCTGCACACTGAGCAGCAGAGGTGCCATTGCAACCCCAACTATAACCCATAGGAAGGCACATGCCAAGTGGGCATAAAGGGACCTGCGGAGCTTGATGGACTTCACAGGGTGCACGATGGCTAGGAAACGGTCAACGCTGATACACATGAGGAAGTAGATACTGGCATACATGTTGAGGTAAAAAAGGAAGCCGGTGAGTCTGCATGGGATCTCACCAAATGGCCAATGATTACCAGAAAAATGGTACACCAGCCGGGTGGGAAGTACCAGCACAAAGGACAGGTCAGCCACAGCAAGATGCATCAGAAAAATGTTGGCAGGTGTGCCTGACTTTTGGTCCCGGATGAAGAGCCAAAGAGCCAGGGCATTGCCAACAAAAGCCAGGATGAAGTCCAGGAAGTAGAAAGTGGCAAAAAGGATGTTCTCAAGGTGTGTCTCTTTGCCACATTGTTCTGATGTTTCCAAAGAGAAATTTGATTGATTTGAGCAATTGAAGAGTAGGCTTGAGGGATCTGCTGGGCCATTCATTTTTCACCACAGTTTCAAAGAAGAAAAAACACAAAACCTGAAAGAATTGAGACAGTATATTACAAAAGAGCCTGGTTTTGTGACCAAAAAAACCACCACAAAACAAACCCCAAAAACCCACCCGAAAAAGCACACATCAAAATCAGTGATGTCTCCTGTTTGCTAGTATTGGTATTTAGTACAACAGGTCAATCTGAGTTTAAACCCTTATATTAAAATTGTGAATAGTTTCTGCTCAGCTGGGTTTTCCAGACCATTAATTCCTGTTGAAGGAACCACTATAAAGAGCTAGCTAGCTGATTATGAGCTTGTCACCAACCTGTGCTGAAATCACTTGAGTAATGGAGTAGTGAAATGCTTATGTGTCTGATTAATGGAAGAGTGGAAGTGGGTTCTGTACATCTAGCTAGAATGTATTTGCTATGTTTAGTTTGAAAGCCTCATTCGGGACTGAAGAGCTCCTAATGAGTCAGCTTTTCTGAGCACAGGTGTCTGTTGTAAGGTGACCTGGCTTAGAACATCTACCTTGTTCCTAGAAGAGTTGGAAGACAGGCCAGGTATTGCTGTTATTAAAAAAAACCACAGGGCTCCTGAAAATCTTTGAGAATTATTTTAGTCTAAATTCCTGTGTTTAAGGCAGATGTATCTAGTTCCATTAGAGGAGGAAACTTTTCAGATGGTTAGCAGCATCTCATTTGAAGAGCAAAAAGCACTGAATTGACTCAGAAAAGGTTATTACTAATGCCTGTGCTGTCAGTTACTTGTCAAAGTGTCATCCTTCCCTGCAGCTGCTTCTCCCAGCATAACTCTGTCTTCCTCCCTCAGAAGCCTGAACTCCACTATAGCTTATCCAGGGCCTTTTCCAAGTAGCAGCCTAGTAAAACTGAGCTTAGCTTTGCTAGTCTCTCTGTAGTCTGCAGGGTACCAAGCAGCATCAACACGAAGTGAAAAGATTTTCTGGGCGCCTACCGTGGCTTTTTATACATTTCTCACCTGTGGGCGTAGGTGGTAGGGAAATGCAGGTAGGCTGAGTTTCCAGCATCGTCTCTGTTTCTTGGATTCCTCAGGGGTGTTACGGTACGTGCAGTGGTGCCTCCATTGCGCTCACCATTGCATTTTGTACTGGTTGACCATTTCTCCATAATATTCAATACATCTTTAAATACATCCATTTTCCTCTACTGAGATTAAAATTTTAAGATGGTTGCTGACATTGTGAGGCAAAATTTTTAGTCTCAGGCAGAAGTAATGCTATATGCTGAAATCTTACATCTTTACACGGTTGATTCAAGGCATTATGAAATGCATCCAGCTTCCCAATAGAACTGATCATTCAGATGTCTAAAGATATTGGTGGCTAATGGAGAAACTGAAATGGGATGGACAACAGACCAATATATTGGAAAATGTAAACAAAATTCCAAGGTAACTATCATCGTTTGTTTGGCTGATGTCACTTTCAGGTGGACAGAAAGCTACAATAGCTAGAGGTGAATATGCTATACCACTACTGTTTAGTTCACAGTTGAAGAGACAAAAGTCAACAGAAGTGAGACAGAAGGAAATTCCGAAACTGAAGTTTCTTCATATGGCCACAGAGGGGCCTTCTTACACCATGCATTGCCTAAACACCCTGCATGTTTATGGCACAAAAACGACTCAAGGGTTGAGTGTATGGGTACTCACTGCCTCGTGCCAGCTGCATGCTTCTTTGTAGTCCTAGAAATGCCAACAAATTATCATCTTGGAATTACTAGAAGCACATGTGCAAGACAGACTTTATAGCCCTTTTTTCCAGGGGACATTTTATCTATAAAATCCATGCAAAATCTTGCTTTCATAAACAAAAGGAATATTCCCTGTTGCAGTTTTCTGTGTGAATTTCCTGGGTTTGCAGAGGAGCTCACAATTTTTGTTTCTAGTGTTTATTTGTCTCTTACAAAGTAAAACCTGCAAGATTTTGAAGTTCGTGTGCGATAGTAATGTTGAATGCTCAAATACTTGTCCTCCCTTGATGCAAGTAGTTTAAATATGTATTTTTCTACTGCACACCAAAGGAGAAATATGATGAGCCCATGCTTTTTTGCTGACTGTTAATTTAAAATGGTACCTATCATCTGATGTTCTGGCTATGTAGCCTTTATTTCTGTCAGGCACTTTGTTTAAATATGCTTTTCATTTGCAAAAAATGTAATCAGGTGATCTTTACATACATGCCTGTCAGTGATCGGTGTGATGCCTAAGCATTACTCTATACATGGTTGTGACAACACTGAGAAAGCAGTAAAGCTGGCTTGGACCAGCTGAAAAGGCGGAAGCAAGGATTGTCTAATGGAACAGACAAGATGTCTTTTGTCTTAATGATAATGATTTAAATCAGTTCAGGAAGCTAAGCAGTAAGCAGACTTTTTCCTTGTTTACAAGCTGGGGTTTAGCAGCGTGATACATTGAACTGATTCTATTTGAGCTGATTTCCTAAGGAGGATCTTTGGGATTCAGATCCAGCTGAGTGTCAGTGCCAGACTTGGAGCAGCCAAGACTTAAAAGTCGAGAATTTTGTCCTCACTGATGTCAGCGTTGAATCTGCCATTGATTTCTATCTGGACATGCTTTCATTGCAAAATGCTGTGGGGTGGAGTAGAAAGGAGAATGTCAGAGCTATCTAGAAGCCCAGTATGTCAGTGTCAGGAAGGGAGAGGCTTAGAACTAATGACAAAATTGAAATAGATTCAGTCTTTTGAAATGAGTGCCTTCGTAAGACAGCTGCTGTTACCTAATTTACTTTTAAAGCAAGGAGAAGAGAGGTATTTTTCATTGCCTTATCAGAAATCATAGAAAAGGCAAGTAGGCCTCTTTCTAATTTTGCTTAGGTTTTAAATTAGAAGGGAGTTTTAATCAAGATTTTTTGTGTGGTTTTTTGGGTTTTTTTCTTTTACGATTCTGTTTATTGATGTGAAAATTGTGGTATAGCACTTTAGTAGGTTAGGAAAAAAGCTGACATGTCACTAGAATAAACCATTGAGCTTATTTTTAGAATTTATATGTTTTCAACAAAATGCTACAACTTTATAACAGTGATGGTTCTTTGACACAAGTGTGTTCTGTACACCGTGTGGAAAGCTGTTTGCTGTTGTTTACAGGTCCACTTCTATTTTGCCTGCTTTTATCCTATCAATTTAAAATAAATGTGTTTAATTTGTAGGTTTTTCTTTCTTTTTGGTTTGTTGTGCTTACAAAAAAGCACTCAAAGTCCTAGAGAGCTTGTTTTACTAGTCTGTGTGAATGCTAAGAGCAAACTAGAAACCTGCCCAAGTGACCTAGAATGTGTAGTTTGTGCTAAGCTATATGGTGCAAGAGGCTTTGACTCCATAGCCAGAAAACTTTAGGAGTCCGGCTCATTATCCAATAATTTCCGCTTGGATTGCACTCTTGGTGTTGTGTGAATATTTAGTGATTTACGTATTGCTAAACAGAGCACTATTCTGGAATGAGCCATTATCCCAGGCCTCCCAGGGCTGAGCTGTAATGGGGATGTCACTGCTCATTTGAAATGTGTGCACACTGACCATATTTTATGCTCTGTTTCTCTTCTGCTCGGAACCAAGGAGGATAACAATCCACAAAACTATCAGTATAGACACAACCTGATTACTCTTTCGGCAGAGGTTCTATCTATCGTTATTGAAACAATTAATAAGCAGAAGAAATATTTAGCTCATCATAAGTTATTTATCTGGCTAGTTTTGTGCTTTTTTTGTAATGCCCACTGCAGATAAATTTGAACTACATGTTAGAGTTTGTAGTGGATGTCAAATTCCTATTCTTGCTCTCAGCTAGAGCAGTTTCTGGTTTGGGATTATGCTTGTTTGGGGTTTTTATGATTATGGTCGTAGTGTCTTGTCAAATGGGAGTATCTCCTATCTTTCACTGAAAGTACTTTTCATTAGAAATAGTCCACTTCTGACTGAAATTATTCTCCTGAAAATCACTCCATCCTGAGGTTCCCACCCTTCATCTGAAATACTTGTTTCTTGTGAGCATCAAAGCAGAGTCGGAGAGCACTGGACATACCATACAGCTGTCAGTTTTCCTGGCATAAATGGATGTATGTTAGGTACAAAAGTTGGAAAACTTTTATGTTTTGGAGAATTGATATAAAGAAGAGTGAGGAAGTTATTCTTTGAAATTCAAAAAATGCTGCCTGTTCTTAGTTTCAAACATTTCCATTATATTCATCCGCCTCTGTGTGTGTGTCTTTCCACCTCACTGACACCAGCTAGAACTAAACCATTAGGAAAGCTCCTTCATTATTCTGCTAACAGAAGTTTGTCTCTTACCTCTTTACAGTGCAGTCCTATGGGTGGAGTATAGGGTCCTTTTGGGGAAAATCTCAAGGAACTCCTTCTGATGACAGCAAGCCAAATAGAAGCAGCAACGGTGAAAACAAGATGATCCAAAAAGAGCACACAGTTGCAGAGTTGCTGAGGGTGGAGAGGGGAAGTCCCTCTATATAGTGTCCTTCTAGCTCTGATAGCGCATTATCAGCTCAGTCACACAGCAGAGCAGGGGAGAGGACACGCCAGCACTGAAGAGCAGTCTTCATCCCAGCTGAGCTCCTGGCACTGGGGTTGCTGCTGCTGTTATAGATATGAATGTATTGTATGAATATGCCAGTGTTCACGGTGCTTACTAAAGGCTGCTACTGAACTCCCAGCCGTTAACACAGACTTCTTGGAGTCCCCTGATTATTTTAGGAGGGTGGAGAGGAGCATTGTTTAGGGGAAGTCTGGTATTAATAGACACAACAGGACATTTCAGAATGGGATAATTCCATAATGGTGGGAGTGAGGAGGGAGAGAGGGAGAGGGTCGACTGCTATGGTAACAGCTTAGCCTGTCCAACACTTCCCTTTGCTTGCAATAGAGGAGGGTCTATGGGATGGCAGAGAGGGTTTGTGAGTGGGGAGGGATTGATAATGGTTTATCAGTGCAAATGGCTGAAGGCATCTTATTCAGCTGAATGAGAGGGGTCTCTTTCAGGACATTTGCTTCAGGGTCCCTATGTCCTGCCCCGTATAATTACTCTGCATTTGACAGTGCCGAATAAAAGTGATGCCTTTATGCTGAGATGAGCACAGCTGCATGTTTCCTTATAATGGGGTGCTGTCTGCTTTTTCTGGGCTCCGTCTGGGCAGACAGTAGTTCCAGCCCTGGAGAGAGACACTTGCTGACAGGAGGACTCAGATTTGGAGAGAATAATAATGATACTTAGCACTTAGACAGGCGCCTGCCAGCTGAGGGTCATAAATGTTTGAGGTCTCACAACAACATCTGTGTTGTATTCTTATCCCCATTTTACACATCTAAGGGCAAGTGATTCATCACAGCAGAATTTTGGAAGGGGCCCTGCAAAGAACCCACTACTTCAGCCATAAATCTACCCTTTCCATTTGAAATTTTCCTTTTGTCTGGTGTCTTTTGAGAATGACCTGTAAATCTCAGCGAGTGTTTCGCATAGTGATATAGTGAAAGGAATTATGCAGGCTTGTCTGTTTAGTGACAAAGAAACCCACAGAAGTCATTCCTCTCTCATTTTCGTTTTATCATAAATTCTTCCCTGCCTGCAGCATTGTGGCTAGAGGGGTAGGTAATAGGCAAGTAAACTGAACAGCTTCTCCTCAGAGCTCCTAAATATTGGGGTAAAACCAGTGGATTCTGTCAGTCTTTGCAGAATTTTTTTTATGCCTTTGCCTAGGCTTTTCTGTCAGAAATTTGGCTTGTCTACCTGTTCAGGACTGTACTGGTAATATGTTCTAGAACATGTGATAGGGACACAGTTTTATTTACCACATAAAATTGCAAAATTGCGTGTAGTTCTTTATTTTCTTTCACTTAAGACTAAAAGGAATTTGTAGGCAGAAGAGCAAGTATTCAATGGTCTCTTGTTTGTCCTAGCCATTGAAGACTAAGGAGTCCAGCCATGGTAAAGGCATTCGGGCAATGTGCTTTGGTTTAATGGTTTTTATGCTCTCTCCTCGACTCCTTCCCAGTGCTGTCATGCCTCTGTTATGGCTGGATCCCCTAGTTAGTAACAGAGAGAGGGTGTTGCCACCTTTCCTTGCCCACCTCTCAGAGAGCATATAGAAGAACTGGAGAGGATACCTAGAAGAATGACAGGATGATATCCCTGACGGGACATTAATCAGTGAATGCTGGAGGAGTAGTCTAAGGAAATACAACTCTGTGACTACTCTATCCACATATTCTTTTCTGTGCAACTGGTGTGAGAGACAGGATACTAAACTAAATTATGTTTAGTGTGACCTCGGAAGACACTTCTTCTGTTACATAAAGTACATCCTACAGCATGCACTGTATGTTGTTTTAGGAGACAGAATTTCTTAATGTTTTGTTTTCTTTACTTTGTTCAACCAGGCATCTGTGCAGGCCATGCCATAACCGTGAAAAAGCTAAGGGACTGGGCAAGTACATCTGTCAGAAGTGCCACTTGATAATTGATGAGCAGCCTCTGATGTTTAGGAATGATTCCTACCATCCCGATCACTTCAACTGCACCCACTGTGGGTATGTTCTCATATTCTAAACTCTGACAAAAAAGGAGAGAGACAAACAGAGTACAGTCAGCAGTGCAGTCCTTTCCAAGGCCTGAACTTTGGTACCTTCACATTATTGAGCAAACAGAAATTGTGTGAGGAGAAATCAAAATAAATTTGGAAAGCCTGTGCTATTCAATGTTCTTTTATCCTAAACTTGAATGACACAATTTTATACTGAAAGTGAAAATAGTTCCTTGATAGGAACTTACCTGAAATGCTGTGTGCAATTCGATTAGAATAGTAGTGTTGGCTGAAGATAGCTGTTGCCAGGGTATTCAAAATAGTTTCGCTTTGCATTCATGGTTAGAAAAAAAAAAAAGATGACTTGGTGAGCTGTGTCAGTCTTCTGGCACAGTCGATTACCATGCTGGTACCTGTCTGACCCGGATGACTTACCATGAAAGCAGTATAATTGGAGCACAGTACTGCCCTAGAATGGATAACAGTGCTGAAGATTAAAGTAAATGGCTCAGTGCTGAGCACTGCTAGGATGGTCCTTGTACCTGAGCTGTCCCATTTAAAGATAGCTTGAGTCTTTGCATGATGCTGCATTGTTGCGTGTAAGTGCACCTCGTATTTCTGCCGGAATATCTACTGAAGACATGATATTCCACGTATGTTCTCTTGCCTGACATACTGAGAAAAGCAATTTTAGAAGGATGAGTTGACAATAACTGTATAGTTTAATTTAATCATTTGTAGCATGAATGTTGCCGAAGTATGTTAACTTTCAAGTTTAGTCTTCCAAAACTTCATTTTAGTTATTAAAGATCTTCACTTAGTATTCTTACTTCAGGGACATGTTTGTGTTTTCAGGAAGGAGCTGACCGCTGAGGCCCGGGAACTGAAGGGAGAGCTGTATTGCCTGCCCTGCCACGACAAGATGGGAATCCCCATCTGTGGAGCCTGTCGTAGGCCCATTGAAGGACGAGTCGTCAATGCTCTGGGAAAGCAATGGCATGTTGAGGTGAGGCCTCTCTGAATGTGAAACTGTCTTCCAGATCTACTTTGGAAGAGGACGAGCGCTAGTGGGAAGCTGTAGACATTTACGTGATCTGTAATATATCAATTCAGACAAAAAAATAATTGCGTATGTTTCAGATTGTCTTCACCTCATGTGAGTGAATGAGTACAGCAAGGTCATCAGGGTTGCCTAAGAAAGCTATACTTTCACAGCAGTAACAACCTTAATTTAAAAATGCCTGAGTCAGATTATAAAGATTCTTGCAGAATATGCTTCACTGGACAGCGTTTACTTACTAATAAATTTACATATTTACTATGGTGTGCTTAGATATATCCTCTCCAACCCCAGTTAACAGGTTCATAACAGTGTTAGAATTTGTGATGTAGGCAGAGCCAGTGCAATCCTTGCTTTTTAAGCCTTTTCAGCTCATCGTTTCTATAAGTTTCAGCTGAGTCGTCGTAGCTTGCTCTGAAGTTTTTTAGTGATTTGATTTTAGTGATTTAAGACCCCTAAGGCTTGAACTGAGAGAGATGATGCTGCCCATTTGAAGTGCATGTGTAACAATTATGTTTTATGTTCCTGTTTCTCTTCTCTCAAACAAGCAATAGTCCACAAGTCTATCAGTATAGACACAAGATGATTGCCCTTTCAGCAGGTCTTCTACCTATCTTTAATACAATTCTTAATTAGTATAGTAGCCAAATATTTCCTCTTTTCTTTTACTTCCATAAAGATTTTACTGTCTTGAGTTTCATTAAAGCATTAAGGGGTAACAGTTTTAAACTGAAAGAGAATAGATTTAGATGAGAAATTGGGAAGAAATTCTTTACTGTGAGGGTGGTGAAACATTGGAACAGGTTGCCCAGAGAAGTTGTAGATACCTCATCTCTGGAAGTGTTCAAGGCCAGGTTGGATGAGGCTTTGAGCAACCTGATCTAGTGGAAGGTGTCTCTCTGTGGCAGGGGAGTTGGAACTAGATGATCTTTAAGGTCCTTTGCAACCCAAACCATTCTATGGTTCTATGAGTATCTCATATTGAGCTATGATTTGTAGCTATGCAAGTTTTTCCCTGGTGATGGAAAAGTCACTTTGGCTGCCACTGAATGACTTTTCTTTTACAGCATTTTGTTTGTGCCAAATGTGAGAAGCCATTCTTGGGGCACCGACACTATGAGAAAAAAGGACTGGCTTACTGTGAAACTCACTATAACCAGGTAAATTCTGCCATCTGTGCTGTGGGTACTTGTTCTGACTGGCACATACTTTTTTTGCAAAGCTATGCAGATTTTGTGTAATCTGAATTTGTGGAGGCAATGCAATATTAAGAAATTAGTGATATTTAACAGAAAAAAGTTTTTCTTGGTAGATATGAAAAGAGATGCTGAGAACAGAATAGAAGTATCTTGGGGATATTGGATTTTTCTTTGTGCCATTGACAGAAAAAAACACTGATTGTGATTAAAATCCCTGCAATTGTACTCCAAAACTATTTGTGTGGACTTCTTTGATAATTACTTGCTTCTACGGGCCTAAGATACGTGTTATGCTGTCTAAAGCATAAGAAAAGCATGTTTCAAAAGCCAGTCAAAACCTGTTTTTTCTGTGTGACTACTGTACAGCTACGAGTGTGATATTTTGTTCTGTCTGATCAACTAGTCTCTTTCTCTCATAAGAGGTAAGTGTTACTGTTTTGAAAGTAGCCCTGGGTTTTATTTTGAAGTTTGTAGTTAAATATTAGGAGATGTTTGTCTACAGTAGTCATACTCCACCGATCCTCTTTTCTCCAAATTGCCACATGTATAGGACTTTAAGATCACGTAACAGTAGTAGAGTGTGAGGCATCAACAAAAAAGGTTCTGTAGTACTTAGTGGTATGAGATCCAAAGGAACATAGACTTTTTGGCGAGTGTATGAGAAGTTATTCAGAAGATTTAAATTGGTATATTTGGGAGCTACTGCAATGTCTGGGGATTCTTTGATTGTTAGGATTTAGTGTTCACACCAGCTGTGTGATTTGGGGAGCATGAGTGGTCAGTAACATGAGTTCCTGTTCTTCTTTCTTTTGCTGTGCAGCTCTTTGGAGATGTCTGCTACAACTGCAGCCACGTGATAGAGGGAGATGGTAAGATTTGTTCTTCTTGTTTTGGGTTGCTGTCCTTGTTCCGTTTGTTAGTGCAGCTGTTGCAGTCACACAGTTGCAAGGCACCAGTGTTTCTTTTCACATCTGGCCTCATTTGAATTTTGATACAAATCTGAATTCAAATAATCCGGCAGTTTCCTCTTATTTTGTGCTTTTGCTTTTGCAGTGGTATCAGCTCTTAACAAGGCCTGGTGTGTGAATTGCTTCTCCTGCTCCACCTGCAACATCAAGCTTACACTGAAGTAAGTCAGTGTTTGTATTTTGGACCATATGAGACATTTACCTCTAAGGAAGAGTATCAGCTTGGGGGAGCCATGAGCCAATGCCTCTCTGAGGTGTAATATACCTTTTCTCTGTGGGAGCAGGTGCTTATAATTCCACTGATTTCAGAACTGAAAGGGAGCTGGGATTCAGCATCCTCTCTGATTTATTTTCCTTCATTAATCTATTCTGTAAGAAGGTTGAGTAAGAGGAGAACTCATTCAGCAGTACAGAGGGAAGGCTCTAAACTTCGCATAGCTGCCTGTCCTGAAATACCTGCAGCCTCCATGTCTGCTTAGTCTGGATGCTCCCCTCAATGACGGTATTTGCAATTGCGTAGATTATTTTGAAAGAAAATATTATGCTAGTTACTTCAGATATGTAGAAGAGGCACAGGAAACAAAGCAATCCTACATTTTTCCTTTCTCAGATTCAAACCCTTATCTTACTGTGCTGGTTGGCCCCACTGGCCTTGCGTATGAAGGAGCTCTGATTCATCACAGAAAATCTTTGAAATGACACTTCCATTCTACAAGAACATTGTTATTCTAGACTGCTACATACAAATATATAGCAAAATCTTGCTCCATACTTAACTAGCAATACTGAAGATCCTAGTTCCTTGATAAGAACTCAATCTCTGGATTTAAATGACCAGACAAGGAAGCGAGTTGTTTTACACACGAGGTAGAACACAAACAGCAGCATTTACGTAGATGCATGGAGACTTGATTTAGTGAAGCTTATAGTTTGCAAATACCATTTTAATAACCCGCTGTTCTTTGTGTTAAAGGAATAAGTTTGTGGAGTTTGACATGAAGCCTGTATGCAAGAAGTGCTATGAGAAATTCCCTCTGGAGCTGAAGAAACGCCTGAAGAAGTTGTCAGAGCTAGCATCCAAGAAGGCACATCCCAAAGCTCTGGATTTAAACTCTGCTTAAACAGGTCTGTCAGTCTACTGACTGCACTTTTGCAGGCATAAGCTGCTGCTCACAGCAGCTGTTGATTACAGAGGCAATTACCAACAAGTAAAACCAAAGATAAGTAGTACCTTCCCCTGCTTCTGGTAACGTAGCTTGCATCTGACTATCCCTTTTCTCAAGCAATTGTCTATTAACACTGGCAGAAAGAGGAATATGATTTCTGCTTGAGCAGTTTACAGGCTGGTTATTAATTTGCTAATAACAACTTATTCTGCCTTGGTGGAATTGTACACAGTCTTTCCTTCCTCAGTCGAACTGTAGCTCTTTCTCTTCATTTCATCTATAGTCTGAGGAATTTGGAAACAGTGGTTGAGTGCAGGGGTGGAAGAAATGTGTGATTTCCCGTTTTTCAGTTAAAGTATAAAAATTTATCTTCTTACCCTGGGTGAAGACATTTTTATTTCTTTTCAATATGTAGGCAAATATTCTGAAAGCTGTCACTCTTTGCTACATGGAAAATGTTCTAGTCTTTCTCCAGATTCCTACTGAGCATATATGGATGCCATACAGTCCTTCTGGTTTGCAGGTTTACTGGGAAAGCCCAGGAACCAACAGTTATGCCATCTGCACTGCCCATTTGTCCGGCTTAGGTCCAATGTTAAGACAGCTGAAGAGCAGCACTTTGCTGCTTCCTTGTTCAGTACTAAGATTTCAGTCAAGGCCATGTCAGCCTCTTCAGAATAGTTGAGCTCTCCTTAAGGAGGAGGTGGCTATGGGAAACAAAAGATTTTGTTAGAAACTGACACTATAATTTTCTCAGTTTTCTCCACTACTACATGGGTACTAGAGCTTCTAGTGGTCAAAACAAAGCATGTCCTATCCGCTGGCAAAGGTAACATTTCTTGAGGCAGTGTGGCTGGGGCCTTGGTTATTCTTTTGCATGATGAAATTAAATTGATAATATGGTACCAATTTAAGCACTTCAGTTTCCCCGTCCTTCTCACTTTATTTGAAAGATGAGCATACGCTTGTTGGTGACACTCCAGAAAGCCCAATTACATGAAGGGGTTTCTAATATTTACAGTTTGTAGCAAATGTGGTCTTATGCAGAAAAAATAACAGGAAATATTTTAATTAAAATTTTCACCCAAATAAGAGGTTCTCACCACCTTCCTTCTTAAGACCTAAATGTACTTAGAGAGGACCGCAGACGTGAATCTGTACATCTTAAGCACATAGTTCTGTTCGGTAGTTCTGCCTATCACTGGTGAAGTTTCACTGGTCCTTCTCTCTCTGTTAGTACAACTCAAGGTGCTGAGAAATTTACTGGTTTTGAACATTCTCAATACTTCTTTAGGGGTGAGCCATCAGCAATGCCGTTCCTGAGTCCACCTGTGTGTTATGTAATCACGGTGGGCTTCTGAGACCTCTGGAGGTGTGCCCCACAGTTTCTTGTGCTGAACTAAGCTGAGCAGCCTGAAAATGCCTTTCCATGACTAGCTGGGGACTGTGCCTACCCTTCTGCAAGGTGGGCAGGATGAAAGACCCCGGAGGACTGCTGTCTCTTGCATGATTTAAATCTTCCAAAAAGCAGCTAGTTCAGTAGGTCAGATGAACATGGCAGTTGGGTCTAGGCACCATCCGAAGCCTCGGGTGAATTAGCTAGCAAGAAGTTAAAGCTTCCTCACTTCTTATATGAGTGAGCAGCAACTGGACTGGGGCAATAATCTATCTTAAAATTGTCCTCCCTGCCATCACACTCTGCTCAGAATAGATCTACATAAGATCATAACTAAAGCATTGATAGCTGTTAACACGCTTGCTGTTGCTACTACCTCTGAAACTGCACCAGTGATGTCACAGCAGTGGTGGAAAATCCTGGTTAAGTGTGTGCAGGTAAGAATCTCACATGCAAGACCATCTCTCAGATACTTACTGGCTTTGCTAATTCAGTTTCCTTCTGCTGCTTTGCTTTTTGTTGCTGTAAGTTACCATGAGCTTTTAACTGAGGTATACTGCATCTGCTATAACACTCATGAGGGGATAGGCCTAATTTTAACAGTAGAACTCTTCCATCCTCTTCTAATATGCACTGTAGATTACAGTAATAGTAGCTGCTTTTGTCACTGCTTTAGGAGGACATGTGGCTAGTCGTTCTCTCACAAGCCTTTAAATGTTTTTAGTTAAGGGCACAAACAGCAGCATGTCTTTTGGTGCAGTAGTATGTGGCCACTGCAAAGACCGATCTTGTAAGCCTATTCTTTGGCATGTTTTCCACAGCATAAAACACAAGAATTACTCATCTAGGTGCAGTTCAATATGTTCTGCAGATTCTTCTCAGCATAAAATATTCAGATCTGTTCCTGTAATCTTAGTCACAGGCCATGTCTAGTGCTAAATCTGAGCAGCTGTGTATCTTCAGCCTCCTGGGAAGATGGTGGAGGAACACACAGCCTCATAGCTACTGGTAAATATGGAAAGCCTATGTATCTAGCAGGCAATAAGTGATATTCTTTCAGTGGCCACTCTCAAGTTCAGCAATGGAAAATGCATGTATGTAGAGGTGAATGGAATTACTTCTGTACTGCAAGCAGAGATTTAGTGTGTGCTGTCACTTTGTCTCATGTTACAAATTCAGTAGACCTAGTAAGCTGCAGTATTCCAAGGACAATCGTATCATTCTCTTTGATAGCTGTTCAGTTCTGTAGGAGTTGCATTATGTAATCTTCAGAGCATTTCCCAAAATTGGTGAGGAAAAATAATCATCATAATCCCTGATCTCTATATCAGTGGAGGGTGATGTTCTCGTAGTATCTTTTAAATTATTGATTTTTCAATTATTTTTGTTATACTCCTGCTGCCCATAGCCTGCAATGTGCAGAGTTACGGTAATGAATATTACTGACATACCTTTTGTGGGACAGTGGAATTGAAGGAGTAGGAGAAATAACTATAAATAGTTAGACAAATGCATCTTCCTCTACTTCGAGTTCACTTTCTAAAAACTAAGAAGAATATAATGCAGACTTACAAATTCTACTTAGTGTGTTGATGACAAGTTGGGGTTTGTTTTTTTTTTTTAAAAATCAAGTCAAAGTCTTAGTCAGAAATAAGTGGCATGCTTTTTTCCATTGCTGTAAATAGACATGCTGGCCAAATTCATCCTAGGTATCACACCACTGGAGAGTAAAGATTTATATCAAGATTAAACTTGGCTCAGAAGTCTACACTTACTAAAAGCTGTTGTCTCAGTATATACATTTATAGTTTACATTCATATTTATACATTCTGAATTAAAATCACTAATATTCACTGAGTACACTTGAAAATGGTTTTCCTTTTAGAAACCACAATATGTGAAACTTGTTTGTATTCAAAGGGTATGTTACTCACTTCTCGTCTTTCTTTATAGCAACCTAATCTGCTCTCGAGGGCTTGTATCCTGGTCTTTGTTTTTACAGCAGTCTGTGCAATGTAGGCAAATATTGTTCAACCTTCTGTACAGAGAGTTTCTAGATGTTGCATGTTTTGTATTAGGTGATGTGACTGGCACTTTTTAAAAAAGTGGTTGGATAGTGAAGGTATTGATTGCAGGCAAACATGTAATAAATGCAGTTGTACTAGTCTGTAAAGCACCGTTAAGTGCTGAGGATGGCATAGACTGAGTGAAAGAATTAGCAGCTACTTGCCTTGGTTCAGGCCTTGATGAGCGGTGTGGATTCTGCACTGTGTGGAGCTCTCATTTTATCACACGTTGCTTGTGCTGTCTAACCAAAACATGTGATTGTGGATTGAAATGTTGTAATACTGTACCTTTTTATGTTCCTGTAATAAAGTTAACTGTAATACATTTTAAATCTTCACACGAAAAACAAGTTAAAAAGTGGGATATTTTACAGTTAAAAAAAAAAAAAATACATTTGCTGTGCTGAGCCAGGGAGCACTACACACTCTGAGGAACTCTGGGGATTGTCCAAATCTGAGGCACTATCGTGGTGAATTCACATTTTGGATCTGTGCTGCTTCGATGGTGATGTGTTAGTTGATGAGGATGTACAGAAAGGGGTATCATCCTTTCAGAGGCTGTACTGTACAAATTTTGTTGTGTATATGACGAGTAGATAGGATGCTATGATTGTTTGCAGGCTGTAGTGGATGTTTGGTAGGTTCAAGTTACATGAATCTAGATCGAATTTTCTTGTTAAAAAAGACATTGTGGTTGATTTTCTGCAGTGTTTATTTAGAAACCAGAAACAATACAGTTTGGCTGCAAAATTTCTTTTTGTACAGGTGAAGTATGGAATGCTTCTCACTTATAGCCAGTTAGATCACACATAGGATGACAAAACAACTCAAAGTCATTAGTGGCAAACATTTCCATTGCCAGCAATGGACATTACAGCAGG